AGTTTATGGCACATGTGTTTAGGACACACTAGTGATAAGTCCCTGCATGCATTGGCGAAACAGAAGCCATTGAAAGGTGTGAAAACCTGTAAGATGGAGCTGTGTGAGCATTGTGTACTTGCGAAGAAGACGAGAGTGAAGTTTGTTACCACTATTCATAATACTCAATGTATATTGGACTACATTCTCACAGACATTTGGAGCCCTTCCAAGCATACATCACTTGGAGGGGCCAACTATTTTATCACTTTTATTAACGATTATTCCAGGAGAAATTGGGTATACCCTATGAAGTATAAACAGGAGGTCCTGGATATTTTTGTTGAGTGGAAAAAGAAAATGGAGCTGCAGACAGGTAGAAAGGTGAAGACTCTTCGTTCGGACAATGAAGGAGAGTATAAGAGTGATCTGTTTCTGCAGTTTTGCAGGGATCATGGCATTAAACGATACTTCATAGTACGTGAGACACCGTAATAGAACGAGATGGCTGAGAGATTGAACCGTACCTTGCTAGAGAATGTGCGATGTACGATGACGCAGAGTGGATTGCCAAGACCCTTTTGGGCCGAGACATTGATTTTTACGAGCCATCTCATGAATAGGTTATTGTGTACTATGATACAGGGGAAGACTCCTATGGAGCGTTGGTCTGGTTCGGTGGCTAGTGACTATGAGTCGCTTCGGATATTTGGGTGTCCAGCTTATTACCATGTCAGTGATGGTAAATTGAATCCGAAGGCAAAGAAAGCAGTCTTTATGGGCTTTAGAGAAAGAGTAAAAGGCTTCAAATTGAGGGACCACAGGACAAGAATATAGTTATTAGCATAAATGTTACATTCGACGAGGCGTATATGATAAGGCATCAAGTCCCTCAGCAAGTTGAGGGAGACCAGACAAGAGGAACATCACAGCAGGTGGAGGATGATGTGACTTTACCCACTCAAAATAGCATTGTATCCATTGAGGCTCCTATGGAGATGACACTGGAGGGACATGGGATGACAGTCGGGTAGTTAGAGGATACAGTGGATGGTGAGACTCAGGAGCAGGGTCATGCTCAGCAGTCCAATGCAGTAAATAGACTTAGAAGGGTGATTTGTCGGCTAGCTAGATATAATGATGTCATGGTTGTATATGCCTTATCAACAGAGGTCTTCGGACAATGAAGGAGAGTATAAGAGTGATCTGTTTCTGCAGTTTTGCAGGGATCATGGCATTAAACGATACTTCATAGTACGTGAGACACCGTAATAGAACGAGATGGCTGAGAGATTGAACCGTACCTTGCTAGAGAATGTGCGATGTACGATGACGCAGAGTGGATTGCCAAGACCCTTTTGGGCCGAGACATTGATTTTTACGAGCCATCTCATGAATAGGTTATTGTGTACTATGATACAGGGGAAGACTCCTATGGAGCGTTGGTCTGGTTCGGTGGCTAGTGACTATGAGTCGCTTCGGATATTTGGGTGTCCAGCTTATTACCATGTCAGTGATGGTAAATTGAATCCGAAGGCAAAGAAAGCAGTCTTTATGGGCTTTAGAGAAAGAGTAAAAGGCTTCAAATTGAGGGACCACAGGACAAGAATATAGTTATTAGCATAAATGTTACATTCGACGAGGCGTATATGATAAGGCATCAAGTCCCTCAGCAAGTTGAGGGAGACCAGACAAGAGGAACATCACAGCAGGTGGAGGATGATGTGACTTTACCCACTCAAAATAGCATTGTATCCATTGAGGCTCCTATGGAGATGACACTGGAGGGACATGGGATGACAGTCGGGTAGTTAGAGGATACAGTGGATGGTGAGACTCAGGAGCAGGGTCATGCTCAGCAGTCCAATGCAGTAAATAGACTTAGAAGGGTGATTTGTCGGCTAGCTAGATATAATGATGTCATGGTTGTATATGCCTTATCAACAGAGGTCGTTGATGATTTGGTTCATTCTACATTCAAGGAGACAGAGTCTAGCTCTGATTCGATCAGGTAAAGGGAAGCTACGGAGGAGGAGATGTGCTCTCTTCAGAAGAACAATACTTGGGAACTTGCAAAGCTACCGAAGGGTAAGAAGACTATTGGATGCAAGTGGATGTATGCAAAGAAAGAGTGATCTTCTATTGGGGACATTCGGTATAAAGCCAGATTGGTTACCAAGGGTTATGAACAGCTTGAGGGCATTGATTACAATAAGGTATTTTCACCTGTTGTGAAGCATTCATCGATTCGTATTTTATTAGCATTGGTGGCACCGCTGGATTTAGATTTGGTCCAGATAGATGTTAAGATAGCTTTTCTACATGGAGATTTAGAAGAGGAGATCTACATGACACAACCTATGAGGTTCAAAGCTGCAGAAAAGGAAGAATTGGTATGCAAGCTAAATAAGTCTCTTTACGGATTGAAGCAATCGCCACGACAATGGTACAAGAGATTCGACGGCTTTATGATTGGCCGAGGGTACACAAGGAGCCCATATGACTCATGTGTTTACATGCACAAGCAATAGGATGGTGAGTACATCTATTTGTTATTATATGTTGATGATATGCTTATTGCCTCCAGGAATTCTTCAGCTATTCGAAAGTTGAAAAAGGAGCTGTCATCCGAGTTTGAGATGAAGGATCTTGGAGAGGCGAAGAAGATATTGGGTATGGAGATCAAGAGAGACAGGGCGAAGGGGAGATTGAAGCTAACACAGAGGAGTTATCTGTAGAAAATGCTGAAGAAATTCAGCTTTGATGGTAATGCAAAGGCAGTGAGCACTCTATTGGCTCCCCACTTTAAGCTTTCAGCTAAGATGTAGCATGTTTCAGTTGAGGACAGAGAATATATGTAGAAGGTTCTATATGTCAGTGCAGTGGATAGCTTGATGTATGTTATGGTGTGTACGAGGCCAGATTTGTCATAGGCTGTGAGCATGGTATCTAGATACATGCACGATCCTGGGAAGGGTCATTAGGAGGCCGTGAAGTGGATTTTACGGTATATCAAAGGTACCGTAGATGTTGGTTTGGTATTTCAGAAGAATGAGAAGATAGGGCAGGATTGTATTGGCTATATGGATTCAGATTATGTAGGAAATCTTAACAAGCGTCGGTCTAATTCAGGATAAGTTTTTACATTAGCAGGAGCACCGGTATGTTGGAGATGTATACTTCAGTCTACAGTGGCTCTCTCTATTACAGAGGTGGAGTATATGGCGGTGACTGAAGCTGTAAATGAGGCTTTATGGTTGCATGGATTGTTGGAGGACTTGGGGATATCACAGGAGACCATTCAAGTATATTGTGATAGCATGTCGGCTATCTATTTGGTGAAGAACCAGGTCTATCATGCACGCACAAAGCACATTGATGTCAGATTTTACTTCGTTCGTGATGTCTTGGATGATAGAGATGTCATATTAGAGAAGATCCACACAAATGACAACCCTGCAGATATGTTGACCAAAGTTGTTTCAGGTGAGCTTTTAAACATTCTTTAGTGTTGAGGGCCTTTGGAAACCAATTGGGTGAACTACGTTTGACTTGATTCCTTGGGCAAGAGGATATGTAGGCAGTCATGTTTGATACATTCGGTTTGGATTAGTTGATTTTGATGGGGGTGAGATTGTTTAAGCTCTCGTTCGAATTCCCGACTTGTTGTGGATTGAGTCTGTTATCGTGGATTTATTCCACTTCGTACTGGACGCAACAAGTGGACATTTGGATGTTTTTGGTGTCTAGGATCTCTCTGGTGATGTTCGCGGTGTTCTTCTGGTATTTGTCCATAATTTGAGGTTTATCAAATGATGTACGAGATGGAGAATTATGAATGTGGGGGCCATAAGCATGTGAACAGTTTCACGTGAATACACCCACGCGCGAAAGAAATCGGGCGCTAAAGTGGCCCATGTGCGGCCCAACCTGCATACGCCCAGGCTCTCATATAAATCATGATTTCTTCCTAGGTTTAATGTGTGCAAGGAGAAAATCGCAGAAGAGTAGCGGCGAAAAAAAATTAAACGCAGAGGGTTTTGCCGACTTTGAGAGGAGATTTCGTGCTGTAGTCTTTTGTGCCGATTTTGAGAAGGTTCTTTGTGCATCCATTTTGAGAGAAAAATTGTGAGAGATTTGAGAGATTATTTGAGGGTTTTATTTATGAGACCTTGTGTGATTATAAACCCTATTTGCATTCTCTTTCTCTAATAGCTTGTTAGGTTCCCTCGACAAGTCAGTCATAGAACTGATGAGAGGAAGAGTGTATATCTCACTTTGTTGAGATATATCACTTTCGGTACTTGTTTCCTTTGTGAAACAGGGATTTAGTTGTGATGTTACTCTCTTGTTGTGCACCAGAAGTGCTACCGAAATTTTCGCTACGCACAACAATTTATACTCTCCTTGATTTAGTAGAATCTCTCATCCTCTCCCCGTGGACGTAGGCAAATTGCCAAACCACGTATATCTCTGTGTTTTGGTTTGATTTCTCGTATTTGGATTGAATCATTCTCCTGTGTGGTTGATCCTCTTCTCCCGTGATCACGGATTCGTTCGGTGTGCGAGCACGCTTCCGCATAGGCGCGCAACAGAAACTAGTGTAGAATTATACCCCACATGACCAAATAAAATGAAAGTAATTTGTTCAATAAATACCTCCTCCTCATCATCAACAACCCACAAGCAAATTTACAGCTACACAATTTGCAATGAATCCAATTTGCAACGTTCTACTTATAATCTTCATTTTCATTAATCTCAATCTGAGATGTGGTCTCGTTCACAACATCTCTCATTCTTTGAAGGTAAACGTTCACAAACCCGCCATGAACAGAATATCGACTAACTTTTATTTATCCTTATGCAAAACTACAGTGAATTCAGATGAAGCCATCAAGCGTTATGGACATTGTGTGTTATTACCATATAATTATTATTATGCACATTCTGATATTATCATATATTTTCTGTAATATATATAAATGGTTTTATGATAGTTCTGTACAAACTTTCTAGCAGTTCATGATAGTTTCTTTGAGATAAATATATATTAAATGCAAATTTTCCCATGTTTTTTTTAAAAGGTACAGGGGAAACTAAACAAAAGAAAAAAGATCCAAAATCTTCGATCACGAAAAAAAAAAGTTAAAATCTTAATCAGAAATGAATAACCCCGAGGTTAATAAGCAGCGGCACCAGCAGGACAGCAATCATCACCAGCACCAGCAACACCGCAATGCAGGCCCACTTCCTGGAGCTCCTCTGGTACTCCTTCGCCGACTCCAGCTCCACCGTCCCCTTCCTCACGAACGAGCTCGCGTGCGCCACGTGGCTCTCGATATCGTTCAACTGGTGCCCCTGTGCCTCCACCAGTGCTGCCATGTCGAGGAACACCTGGTGCAGGTCCATCAGGCTCTTCTCGATCTCCTTCACTGCATCGTGTCGCTCCTGGATCTCCATTATCGTGTCCAGTACTTGGCCTCTGCCCTGCTCCTCGATTGCTTTCTGCAGGAAGTTTTCGCTCTCACCCGAGGATATCATGGACTCGATCGTGTCATCGTCTGCCTGTTTTCCGGTCACGGTGAAGTACCTGGCGAAAATTTACGAGGGAAATAGTTATAAGATCTTACTATAATAGCCGGTGATTGAACAATATAGTGTCCAGTTGTGTCCCAAGACACTTCTGGTCTGATTTGCTACTTTATACATATTTTTATTTATTTTTATTCCTATTTATTAATTAGACATCACTGGAGTTTGGGTAGGGCACCACTGAAAGAGGTAAAGTTAAAAATTTGTGAACGTATGCTCCATGTACTATGATGATGACAAAATCCTGACTCCGCCACTGATCACATATATATATATATATATATACCTTCTTCCTACGGTCTCCTTGTACTCCTCCGCCATCCTCGCCCTCAACCCCTGAAACCCATCCATCAAATCCTTCAGCTTCTTCCCCAGCCCTCCGACAACTGACGTCCTCGTCCGGTCCGCGGAGCTCCCGGGCCCACACCCAGGTACCGCCCGGCTCGCCGCATTCGATTTCTCCAAAGCCTCGAGCTTTCCCTTCACCATTTTTGCTTTTCTAAGCACTTGTTCGACGTCCTTATCCATGCGCGACCGAAGCTCCTTGACCACGGTCGCGCTGTGGGCTAACTTGGTCTCCTCATTGAGTCCCTGCGGATAGAGTACAAATTTTATCAGAACAACCTCACGCGGTTTGAAAAGTTTACCGCCTTGATCGAATATTTCGATTATTATTCGTCTAGCTAGCTATTTTTTCAAGTTTAATGCAGAAAACCATTTAATAAGAGAAATCAAATAGTTTATGGTATTCGTATATTAAGCAAATAAGATATGAGCACGTATGTACATATTCGATTGACTTGATTATCAAATATTTGTCGTCTAAGAGCTTATCATTGATTCATACAATTAAGGTTTAACCCTCTAGCATTTTCAACTGCTAACTAGTTTAAATGTCCTAGTTAAAAAAAACCAAAGTATTTAGGAAAAGTTATATCCTTAACCGAATATACTAAACATCTTGTTAATTGAATACTTTAATATTCAAAATCCATAAAATATGAATGTAATATATATGTGTGATAAATTAATATTCGAAGATATTTAGGGGGTGTTTGGTTCAATTTCTATAAATTATATGAAATGTTTTCCACCCAAAATATGATTTCCTTATATTTCTTAAAAAAATTATAGGAAAAGTTTTAAGAAGTCAAAAAGTACCAATTTTTTTATTTTTTTTACTTTGTTTGTTTGGTTCAAAACAAGAAAATGACTCATAGCTTTATAGAAAACAGCAAGATTTTCTATAATTTGTAGAAATTAAACCAAACACCCCCTAAATTTATAGAAAAGTGTCATTGTAGTGTCAGATTTCTGGGTGATTTCCGCCCATTTTGAGAGGAAATTAATTTTTGTAAATTTTGGTAATTTTTTGTACTTTACAGAAAATGTTTCTGTAAATTTTTTTCAACCAAACACAGTTTACGGAAATGTATTGAAAATTTTTAATTACAGAATTATCATTGTCAGATATTATGAGAAAACTTTTCTATAAAATTGTGCAACCAAACACCCTCTTAGAGAAAAAGGTTTGCGTTTGAATTCAAAAAATTTTAAACGAACACGGATACGAACATGTCACTATTCGATTTCAATACGATCGAACTGTCTAATTTCCACGGCGCGCACCTGCAGGCGTTGGTGCAGCTGCTCTAGATGCTTGAGGTCGTCCTTGACGCCCTCGACGTCCTCGAAGAACTTCTCGAGGTTGACCGTCTCTTGCCCCGAGGCGGCCGTGCCCGTTTCCATGTCGTCCAGCTTGACCTGCTCGTTGAGGTCCGTGTATCGCTTGAAGGAGGTGGTGGAAAAGAGGTCGTTCATTTTTGGAGAGGATCAATGTGGGTTGGTCAATTGGTAATCAGAGGTTAATTAAGGGTCTGTTAAACTCGCTCCCATGATGGTAGTAATGGGAGGAGAGGAAACTAATAGGATTTGGTTTTGGGGCTAATGAGGCCTATGATTGGGGTCATTACGAACAAAAAAAATATTAATTGTGATTAGGATTGGGATAATTGGGTGTTAGGAGATGGAATGAATGAAAAGAGGGGAAGTTGGGGGAGAGAATCTTTTGTCTTGGGGAGGACAAAACAAAAGAGGGTCCTTATTTTTCTTTTCTTTTATTTAAATTGTTTTTTAATTTTAATTTATTTTGTTGTGGGGGAGGGAAAATGCCATTTGGAGAGTGGTTGTTGTTAGAATGTTTAGGTTGCTACAAATGCTGGGATCCAGAAATGTGGGAGGCAACGTTGACCGGGTCTTAGTGGTGTGGACCTCAGTAGAGAAATTATTGGACTTGCTTGTAAATAACAAAGTCAAACAAACAAGTTTAGATCAATTTACATAAGTCTCCGTACGTTCAAAGCACCAGTGGTCTAGTGGTAGAATAGTACCCTGCCACGGTACAGACCCGGGTTCGATTCCCGGCTGGTGCAAGTTATTTTATCCCTTTTTATTTTTCCATCTCCGTATTTTTTTTCTCTTTACAATATTACTCAAAAAAAAAAAAAAATTCATCGTGGGCACCAGGGCCTTAAGATCAGCAGCGTCAATACAAGATTCGACCAACTCCTCTTCACCCATCCATGTGGCGAGCTCGTATCCTATGTATATAGGATTAGTTCGGTCCAGCTCTCCTGGTTCTATTATTATAATAATTGCAATCTCAATCTTCACCGTAATTTTGGGAGAGCCTTTTCAAATGGATGTGAGAAAAAAATAAAAATATTACTATCGTACAAGTCCGGATTTCGCCTCCATAAAAGGTCATTCAACCCGCGAGCATGTTAGAATATCAATTATAACTATCAACCTGAACGCTGAAAATTCAGAGTTTCGATATAGTGTAACATCCTGTGACAGGTTTGAAGTACGACGGTGGAACAATCTTAGCCCGGTTAGTGGCTAAATTTTAGCCTAACAAAACATGTTTCGATCCTGATCTGATTATTTGCCGAACAATTAATCTTAAGTTGCCAAACGGTCCTTTAGTTTAGAATCAAAGCAAGGGGGAAATGATGCTTGAACCGACTTAAACAGAAGATAGAGTACCAAATTAATCAAAAGCTTAAGCTATTAACTAATTGCAAATTAAGGTCATATTTTCTTATTCTTCTAATGAAGACTATAGTCAAGCATGAATTCCCAAGAATCTCTCCTTTCCTTCACGAGTATATCCTAATTATCCATTAGAAACCTCCGGTGATTTGATCTAAACTAACAATCATTAAGCGGCGAGTTGACTACCAACATTAGTAGATTTTCCATTGACTCTAAGCTAATCTGACCTTATCCCTCCAACCAAAATCTTAAACGTCAAGCTTTATCCATGTGTTATCCTAAGTTGTTAGAGTATAAAATTATAACCCTCGACTCTCAATATGACTTGGTGTAGTGATAGGTCTTTCAGATGGTATTAGATAAGCTCAGGCTCAAATTCCACTAACCACGTATTTGATGCTTATTAAAAAGATGTAGTGTTGCATAAATTCAGATTTATGTCCTAAAAGGTCACTTTCAACGTTGTGGGGACAATGTTACAGTATAAAATTATAACTCTCAACCATGGTCACAACTTCTCTAAATCGATAGCCTCGGATTGTTGAATCATGACTCTTGCACAATCTTCCACAGTCTGTGAGCTAACAAGATATTTTGACGAGCTAATCAGTGTTGGATTTGGGTGAAGAATCAAACCTCCGCAGGTGAGGTCGACGGCGAGCTCGAACGCTCGTGCTTCAGGCGAGCGTGGGCGAGCTCCACTCCAGGCGAGGACGACGCGATCAGGCGGAGTTGGCGAGCTCCGAGTGGGCGTCGGCATCAGGCGAGGTCGAATCGCTGCAGGCGATGTCGAATCACTGCATGCGAGGTCGAATCGCTGCAGGCGAAGTCGAATTGATGCAAGCGAGCTCGAGCTCAAGATCTGCAGGTGAGCTCGAGCTCGAGCGCTGCTGGCGAGCTTCCCAGGCTATCAACAACTTGTCGACAGCTCAGCTAGGGTTTCCCTATAAAAGGGAAACCCTAGGGCACGAGATCGGTGTTCTTCCCTTTGGCATTTTTCGGCGGCGGCTCTCCCTCTCCTCTCTCTCTCTCTCTCTCATGAGATTTTAAGGATGTGAGTTACATAAAAAGAGAATTTAAGAGAGAATAAATTGGTATTTAAGGAGGGGATAATATTACTGTAGCTACAGTGATATTTAACATTTATTAAGAGATCTCAATTTTGAGATCTGCTCTTGCTATTATAATTTCTTATTGATTAATAAGAAATTAATTGTGTGGCACCTGAGGACGTAGGCAGTTGCCGAACCTAGTTAAATATTGGTGTATTTTTTCTATACTGCATTTCTGTTGTTTAGGGGTTTCGGCGTAAATTCCCAACAACGGGTATCAGAGCGTGAAACGATCTAGAGGAAGTCAAATTCAAGTAGAAGTCATGGCCGCAGATGAAGAAAAAGTGAGACTTGAGAAGTTTGATGGAACAGATTTTGGATTCTGAAAAATGCATATAGAGGATTATTTGTATCAGAAAAATCTGTATCAACCACTATCGGGGAAGAAGCCAGAGTCGGTGAAGGAGGATGAGTGGAATCTTCTAGACAGACAAGCCCTCTGTGTTATCATATTGACGTTGACCCGCAATGTTGCGTTCAACATAGCGAATGAGAAGACCACGGCGGGTCTTAAGGCAGCACTCTCAAATATGTATAAGAAGTCATCAGCCGCGAACAAAGTTTATTTGATGCGGCGGTTATTCAATCTGAGAATGGTGGAAGGCGCGTCAGTAGCACAACACCTCAATGAACTTTCAATCTGAGAATGGTGGAAGGCGCGTCAGTAGCACAACACCTCAATGAACTCAACACGGTCACAACCCAATTGAGTTCAGTTGCACCTCAATGAACTCAACACGGTCACAACCCAATTGAGTTCAGTTGAAATTGAGTTTGATGAGGAAGTTTGAGCGTTGATTCTTTTGTCTTCCCTACCAGAAAGCTAGACGCTACAGTCACAGTTGTGAGTAGCTCATCGGGAAACAACAAGTTGAAGTTCGATGACGTTCGTGATCTAGTTCTCAGTAAGGAGATTCGACGGAGAGAGTCGGGTGAAGCTATAATCTCTTCAGTATTGCATACAGAGTCATGAGGTAGAAATTCAACCAGAGGGAACGAACGAGGCAAATTAAACTACAGAGGTAGATCAAAAGACAGGAGGTCCAAGTTAAGAAATCCAAGCAATAGCTCGATGGCTATCGAGTGTTGGAATTGTGGAAAGACCGGGCACTATAAGAATCAGTGCAAGAGTGCACATAAGGAGAAGGGGACGAAGGCAGACGTGAATGTCACTTCCACCTCAGGAGGAGACGACACATTGATATGCTCTTTGGAGAGCAATGAAGAGTCTTGGGTGTTAGACTCTGGAGCGTCGTTTCATGCTACTTCTCAGAAAGAATTCTTTGAGAAGTATGTCCCCAAAAATCTTGGATACGTATACCTTGACGATGACCAACCGTGTGCTATTGTGGGTAAAGGTATAGTAAAAATTAAGTTGAACAAATCAGTATGGGAGCTGAAGGATATCAAACATAGTCCCGACCTGAGAAAGAACTTAATATTCGTCGGTCAGTTGGCTGGCCAATGATACACTACGACCTTCCATGGAGATATTGGAAGATCTCAAAGGGCGCAGTGACGATTGCCCGAGGCAAGAAGACTGGTACCCTGTATATGACAGCAGGTGCACGTTGTTTGATCTCAATTGCAGCAGGCAATGAGACTTTAAAGCTGTGCGCCAGAGACTCGGTCATATGAGTGAGAAGGGGATGAAGATCATGCACACAAAGGAAAAACTCTCAGGTCTAGAATCAATTGATTTAGATATGTGTGAAGAATGCATACTTGGAAAGCAGAAGAGAGTTAGCTTTCAGACGTGACAGAACCCCTAGGAAGCAAAAATTAGAACTTGTTCACTCAGATGTTTGGGGACCAACCACCACCGCGTCTATTGGTGAAAAACACTACTTCGTGACTTTTATCGATGATCACTCTCAAAAAGTATGGGTCTACTTTCTAAAGCACAAGTCAGAAGTGTTTGAAGCTTTCAGGAAATGTAAAGCTATGGTTGAGAATGAGACCGGTCTGAGAATAAAGAAGCTCAGGACCAACAATGGCAGTAAGTATAAAGACATCGGATTCAAGAAGTTCTGCTATGAGCATGGGATCAGAATGGAAAGAACCGTACCCGACACGCCTCAGCAAAATGGTGTAGCTGAGCGGATGAACCAAACGTTGACAGAGAGAGCCAGAAGCATTCGGATACAGTCAGGTCTACCGAAGCAGTTCTGGGCAGAAGCAGTCAACACAACAGCTTACTTGATCAACGGAGGTCCATCGGTTCCATTGGAGCACAGAACACCAGAAGAGGTATGATGCGGAAAGGAGGTAAAACTCTTACATCTCAAAATTTTTAATTGTGTAGCTTATGTGCATATTAGTGATCAATGTAGGAATAAGCTTGATCCCAAGTCAAAGAAATACACTTTCATCGGCTATGTGAAGATGAGTTCGACTACCGCATTTGGGACAACGAAAACAAGAAGGTGATCAGGAGCGGAGATGTGATATTCAACGAGAAGGTGATGTACAAGGACATGCACAAAACAGATGACTCGGGGAGAGAATCAACATTTGTAGATGTAGTTGATGTCCCAAGTGACCTCTCGGAAGAACCCAATGCAGAAGGTCCTCAGCCAGAAGAGACTGTTGGACAAAATGATGCGCAGGAACCCGACGCACCAGCTCTAATTTTAAGAAGATTTTCTTGACCTCCTGTACCCAACAGAAGATATATGAACTATCTATTGTTGACAGATGGAGGGGAGCCTGAAAGCTATGATGAAGCTTGTCAGAGTGGAAATGCGAACAAGTGGGAGCTTGCCATGAAAGATGAGATGAAGTCTCTTATCTCAAACCAGACGTGGGAACTAGCTGAGTTGCCCATAGGTAAGAAGATACTCCACAAAACATGGGTGTACAGGGTAAAAGAGGAGCATGATAGCTCCAGAAGATATAAGGCCCGACTAGTTGTCAAAGGATT